TGTAGCTGCGCCCTGGGGGAGTTCTGTGATTTCACGTGTGTCCCCTGAGAGCTGGGCATGGTCAGCCCATTCTCCAGATGGGGCAGCTGAGGCCCAGGGAGAGGAAGCACAGGCTGGGATTGGAAGCAGCTCCTGGCCTGGCTTTGAGTCAATTCCAGGTGGGCTGGTGCAGGGCACCAGGGAGCCACCAGCCAACTAGAGCTGCCCTCTGACTGGTGTCCCCGATGTGCCGGGAGTGGGCTCTGGGCTCCTTGGTTCTGGGTTTGGTGGTGGGAAGGATGGAGCTAGTGAGCCACCAGTCCCACCAGTCTGGGGTACGCGTCCTCAGAGTGTCCCCCCATTGGGATGGAGTCACACCGTATCGAGGACAACCAGATCCGAGCCTCCTCCATGCTGCGCCACGGCCTGGGGGCACAGCGCGGCCGGCTCAACATGCAGGTGGGCATTGGGATGGGCCCATCTCCCAACTGGGATGATGGACTCCTCTGCCCATGCTCAGCCTCCCCTGTCCCCTGGACAGGCCGGTGCCACCGAGGACGACTACTATGATGGCGCATGGTGTGCCGAGGACGATGCCAGGACCCAGTGGATAGAGGTGGACACCAGGAGGACTACCCGGTTCACAGGCGTCATCACCCAGGGCCGAGACTCCAGCATCCAGTGCGTGGCCAGGCTCGTGGGTAGTTGGCAGGGGGGAGTGGCTCCATACGCATGGCTTTGTGTCCCATTAAGGAGATTCCAGTGGGCCCTTCTTTGGCCCAGCCAAAGAAGGCCAAAAAGATCAGTGAGGAGCTGACCCTGCCCATCCCCACTCCTCAGCCATGGTCAGTCAGCCCCTGTGTCCTGATGAGCACATGAGTTTAGGGACAGACCACCTGCCCATGGCTATGTGACAGGCATAGGACCCAGGCTCAACACCTGGGCTGTGTGCCACCGCCCTGCTAGCTCTTAAATTCCTGGGGCTCAGAAGAGGGAGGCTCAGGCCACCTGAGGGCCTGGGAAGGGGAAGATCCTTGCTGTGACCACTGTCCACTCCACAGTGACGATTTTGTGACCACCTTCTTCGTGGGCTTCAGCAACGACAGCCAGACGTGGGTGATGTACACCAACGGCTATGAGGAAATGGTGGGCACCATGCCCAGGCTCCTGGCTCTGCTCCCATTGTCTGGGCGGGGGGGCGGGCTCTCAGAGGGGTTGGCAGTACTGCTCTGAGGCCTGCCTCTCCCCAGACCTTTCATGGGAACGTGGACAAGGACACACCCGTGCTGAGTGAGCTCCCAGAGCCGGTGGTGGCTCGTTTCATCCGCATCTACCCACTCACCTGGAATGGCAGCCTGTGCATGCGCCTGGAGGTGCTGGGGTGCCCTGTGGCCCGTGAGTGTGGAGGGCTGGCAGGGGCTCAGAGGGGAGGTGGGGTGCTAGGGTGGGCCACCCGGCACCCGGCTAAAGACAACCCCGCCTCCCTTGCAGCTGTCTACAGCTACTATGCACAGAACGAGGTGGTGGCCACGGATGACCTGGATTTCCGGCACCACAGCTACAAGGACATGCGCCAGGTTGGGAACATCTATCCTGGGGCTGGGGGTGGGACCTGTCTGTCTGACAGGGGAGTGTGTGCCTGGTGTCACAGGGCCCAGTCCCTACTGGTTCCAGGGACGCTGGCTGTCCCTCACCTTAGGAAGGAGGCCAGTACCTGGGGGCTGCCTGAAGGGGTCATGCCTGTCCCTTGCCATAGACCAGGCCCTGGAAGTGGATGGAAGGGGCATGGTCAGCGGGGGGCGGATTGCGTGATTGATTCCATGTCCTCCCCCTCTGCCCCAGCTCATGAAGGTGGTGAATGAGGAGTGCCCCACCATCACCCGCACTTACAGCCTGGGCAAAAGCTCGCGAGGCCTCAAGATCTATGCCATGGAGATCTCAGACAACCCTGGGGAGCATGAACTGGGTGAGAGTCTGTGGGTGCCAGCAGCTGGCCTGCGCTGCTGGTGAGCAGAGTTCACTGCCTCCCGCCTGTTCTGGAGCCCCTCTGGGGATTCAGGCTTGTCTTACAGGGCCCTAGGAGCCCCAGCTGTCCCCCTGACCCTCAGGTGTGAGGTGGGTCTGGGTCCTTCTTCAGCTGCCCTGGGCCTTGGGAGACTGAGTGCTCACTGAGGCTCCCGCCCTTGCAGGGGAGCCCGAGTTCCGCTACACTGCTGGGATCCATGGCAACGAGGTGCTGGGCCGAGAGCTGCTGCTGCTGCTCATGCAGTACCTGTGCCGCGAGTACCGCGATGGGAACCCGCGTGTGCGCAGCCTGGTGCAGGACACACGCATCCACCTGGTGCCCTCACTGAACCCTGATGGCTACGAGGTGGCAGCGCAGATGGTGGGTTGAGGGGTGAGGCTGGCTGGGGCCAGGCAGCCAGGGCTTGTGGGGGTGTGGGTGGCCCATGCCTACCCTGCTGGCTCTCGACAGGGCTCAGAGTTTGGGAACTGGGCGCTGGGATTGTGGACCGAGGAGGGCTTTGACATCTTTGAAGATTTCCCGGATCTCAACTCTGTGCTCTGGGGAGCTGAGGAGAGGAAATGGGTCCCCTACCGGGTCCCCAACAATAACTTGCCCATCCCTGAACGCTACCTTTCGCCAGATGCCACGGTGAGGCTGCAGCCTGGCTGAGAGGGCAGGAGGGAGCAGCTGGACCCTGGGGTCCTGGTGTTCTGGGCTTGGGGGTGGGGCTGACGGTGCCTGAGCTCCAGACGCTGAGGCTCTGGGGGTTGGGGGACAGGGGAGTGTGCGAGTACTGGTGTGAAGCTTCATGGAGGGTGATGGGCTAGGGTGGGGATGGTGGCTGGAGGCTGCAGCCCTGGCTTCACATGGGCTGGCCACTCCAGGTATCCACAGAGGTCCGGGCCATCATTGCCTGGATGGAAAAGAACCCCTTCGTGCTGGGAGCAAATCTGAACGGCGGTGAGCGGCTAGTATCCTACCCCTACGACATGGCCCGCACACCTACCCAGGAGCAGCTGCTGGCCGCAGCCATGGCAGCCGCCCGCGGGGAGGATGAGGATGAGGTCTCTGAGGCCCAGGAGACCCCAGACCACGCCATCTTCCGCTGGCTCGCCATCTCCTTCGCCTCCGCCCACCTCACCTTGACCGAGCCCTATCGCGGAGGCTGCCAAGCCCAGGACTACACCGGCGGCATGGGCATCGTCAACGGGGCCAAGTGGAACCCCCGGTCCGGGAGTGAGTCAGCCTGGAAGGGGCTGTGGGCGGGGCCTAGTCCGGAGAGGGGCTGACTTTGGGTCTGTATCTGTCCCCGGCCAGCTATCAATGACTTCAGTTATCTGCATACCAACTGCCTGGAGCTCTCCTTCTACCTGGGCTGTGACAAGTTCCCTCATGAGAGTGAGCTGCCCCGCGAGTGGGAGAACAACAAGGAGGCGCTGCTCACCTTCATGGAGCAGGTGTGGTGGCCAGGGCAATGCCTGGGGAGAGGAGGCTGCAGAGATTCCTGGATGGAATCTCCTGGCGGGAGGGAGCAGCGGACCACATTGGACCTTCCTCAGGACCAACAGCCCTCACCTGCTTCCCCAGGTGCACCGCGGCATTAAGGGGGTGGTGACGGATGAGCAAGGCATCCCCATTGCCAACGCCACCATCTCTGTGAGTGGCATTAATCACGGCGTGAAGACAGGTACCTAGTGTGCACATCTTTACCCCACCTTCCTGAGGGAGGACCCTGCCAGAGAGGATGGGGGCTTGGGGAACTCAGTGAGCAGGCAGAGTCTGGGGAGCCTGGGGGCGGAACCAGGGAGGCGGAGCCTAGGGGCAGGACTCAGGGAGGGCGGGGCCTAGGGGCAGGACTGAGTGGGAGGGTGGGGGCCTGGGAGGGGCGCTCTGGGGCAGCCGGATCGTCCTCCCTCCGCAGCCAGTGGTGGTGATTACTGGCGAATCTTGAACCCGGGTGAGTACCGCGTGACAGCCCACGCGGAGGGCTACACCCCGAGTGCCAAGACCTGTAATGTTGACTATGACATCGGGGCCACTCAGTGCAACTTCATCCTGGCTCGCTCCAACTGGAAGCGCATCCGGGAGATCATGGCCATGAACGGGAATCGGCCTATCCCACACATAGACCCATCGCGCCCTATGACCCCCCAGCAGCGACGCCTGCAGCAGCGGCGCCTACAGCACCGTCTGCGGCTTCGGGCACAGATGCGGCTGCGGCGCCTCAACGCCACCACCACCCTAGGCCCCCACACTGTGCCTTCCACGCTGCCCCCTGCCCCTGCCACCACCCTGAGCACTACCATAGAGCCCTGGGGCCTTGTACCCCCAACCACCGCTGGCTGGGAGGAGTCAGAGACTGAGACCTACACAGAGGTGGTGACAGAGTTTGGGACCGAGGTGGAGCCCGAGTTTGGGACCAAGGTGGAGCCCGAGTTTGAGACCCAGTTGGAGACTGAGTTTGAGACCCAGCTGGAGCCTGAGTTTGAGGAAGAGGAGGAGGAGGAGGAAGAGGAGATAGCCACTGGCCAGGCATTCCCCTTCACAACAGTTGAGACCTACACAGTGAACTTTGGGGACTTCTGAGATCAGGGTCCTACCAAGGCCCCAGCCCAGCTCAAGCTACAGCAGTAGCACTTCCCAAGCCTGCTGACCACAGTCACATCACCCATCAGCACACGGAAGGCCCCCGGTGTGGACACTGAAAGGAAGGGCTGGTCCTGCCCCTTTGAGGGGGTGCAAACATGACCAGGACCTAAGAGCCAGAGGCTGTGTGGAGGCTCCTGCTCCACCTGCCAGTCTCGTAAGAGATGGGGTTGCTGCAGTGTTGTAGTAGTGGCAGAGGGAGGGAGCCGAGGTCACTCCAATAAAACAAGCTCATGGCACAGACTGCTCACATTCTGAGGAGTCAGGGATGGGGAGGAGGAGGGAGACCAGCTGGTGGGTGCAGGGGCTATGGTCACTGTGGGTATCCCTGCAGGAGTCCTGTATCCAGACTGCCCAGGGCTCAAGGCTCGCATCAGCAAGTGCTCAGGCTTTATTTACAATGCCAACACTGCAGGGAATGAACAGCCTCCATCTGGGCCTCTCTGGTCAAAACCACCTTTTTGAGTCAGGGGCCCAGCCCCAGGCCTCCCAGGTCATCGTCCTCTGCCCCGAAGCCCGAGAAGCTGATGGGCTGGCAGGCCAGGCTGCGCAGGTTCACAAGGCAGGCGGTCTGCGTGGCACTGAAGTCAGGGACAGTCACCAACAACACTGTCTGGTCCTCAGGACCTGCAAAGAAGTCACATAGGACTCACTGTAGGTTCCAAGTAAGTCCTGCCTCAAAGAGAAGCTGCCAGAAATAAACAGGAGTCCCCGTTGGCACACAGTGGGGCAGTGACAATAGGAGACCAGAGATTAGCCTTGAGAAGCACACAGGCTGGGAGCTGTTCTAGCCCCTGCCCAGCTGGCCAGGCAGCTTGGCTCCCACAGTGAAATAATGGCTGCACAGCAGACCTCAGCCGTCCATCCCACAAGAGCTGGGGGGACTCCACAATGCAGGTTTTCTTCTCTGTCCCCAGGTGAGAACCTTGTTCCCAGGTAAGAGTGAATCAGCAAATCAGGCCTGGGCCCCCAGAAGACAAAAATTACCTTGGATGATTTTGGAGCCAAAGCTGGGGGTGTTGCCACAAAAGTAGACATGCGGGCACTCTAGGAAGATGAATGGGTCGGTTTTGTAGAAGGGGTAACAACCTGGAGGAGAACAGGCAGCTCTGAGGAGGGTTCCAGCTTCAGCACTAGCACTCTGCACAGGATGTGGGGCTGCAGCCCCTCCTCCCACTGCAGGCCAGTAGGAGACCCCCAGTGTGACAACAGGAGCACCTCCAGATACTGTCACAAGACCTTGGCCCTGCTGTTGCTGCGTGTCGGGGTGGGGAGCCATTGGCCTTAGAATTAAGATTCTAGAGTAGCTTCCAGAGCAGGTGCCAAGCCTCTGAACTCCTCAGCTCTCAGCAATGCTGGCAAGTGCAAACCCATAGGGGGACCCTGTGCACTTCAGGGTCCTGCCAGGCCTCCTGGCCCTCTGCTCCCACCCCGTATGGCTGAGCCTGTTACCTAGAGTGTCAGGTGCTGTGGGGCTGATGTGACGGACCCGCAGGGTCCACTCCAGAATCTCCAAGTGATCCTCCATGCTGCTGTATCGGAAAATGTCACTCACGTTCTGTCCTGATGTCCCCAAGAATCTGCAAGGCAAAGCTCAGCTGACCCTTGGCTACGGGTGCCACCCATAGTGGTCAGCACAGAGCTCATCTGGCGCTCTTGTGGGGATGCCCCAGAGAGAAGGAACAGATACCAGGTGGGCCTCTGCAGCCCTGCCACCTTCCTGGACCCTCCCTCCCCTCCCCTCTTTGTGCCTCCTGAGGCAAAAGGCTGGGTCAGACTGAAGTGTGGCTGTGCCAGCTACCTGACTCCATCAATGGTGGCCTGGTAGGGGTTGGTGACCAGCTGGAGCGTGGAGTAGGCAGTGGCCAGCGGGAACATGCAGGGGTGGAGGGGCTGCTGGGGGAGCGTGTAGTTGGTGGGATCAAACTCGCCTGGCATCACATCCACGGGCACTGAGGCCTGGAAGGCACAGGGCAGGGAGAGCTCAACCCCAAAGGAGCCCCCTACCCCAACTCCAGCCACTCCCCCTGCCCTCCTGCCTGCCTTCTCTTGCCCAGTGGCAGCTTTGAAGACTGCAATCCTCATCACCCCTCCAGCCTCCAGCTCACTCACACTCAGTTGCAGGAGGATCTCATCCAGCATCTTCACAGCCTCCACGCTGGCTGCCTGGGTTTTCTTGGTGAGGTACTTGGCCTGGAATAGAAGCCCAGGAAGCCATCAGGCCCAGGTGAGTCCCAGACTCAGAGGAGAGCAGAGCCCCCTCAGCTGGAAGATGAAGATGTTGTCCCATAGACCTTCACTCCCTTCTAGCCTCCCACCACCCTCAGCGAGGGCCTGGGCACGAGAAGCCCCAGTGCAGGAGGCCCCAGTGTCACTGCAGGGCGCTTCCCACCGACCTGCAAGACTTCACAGGGTACCCAACTCGCCATGGGGAAGGAGAGTCTTACAGGTTTGCAGCCTCCTGGGCTGGGGCTGAATGCAGCCAGGCGGGCTCCATACCTTATTGATAGAATCTCTGCTCTGGGTGCTGTGGCTGAGGAGGTTACCGGCGAGGATAACCCGGGAGACATGAGCGGCACTGCACTGCTCCCCTTCGTCCCCAAGCTGCCCTGTCACCACATCCACCAGCAGCTGGGTGCCCAGCAGGCTCTCACCTCCACCTCCACCCAGGCCCAGGCCGGACACGAGCAGCACGAACCTATGGGAGAAAGTGGGGTCCTCCAGGGTGCCAAGAAGGGAGGCAGCCCCTCCTAGGTGCGACTCAAAGATTCCACTGACCATGAGCTGGTTCCGGCCCCCGAGAATTGCTGCTCACCTATCTGTGTCAAGTGGGGGTGCGGGCTTCTGGGGAGCAAGGTCAGCAAAGCAATGGTCCTCCACCAGAAACTTCCCATCGTCTCTCACGGAGCCAAACACAGCCAGGACAGTCCCTGGGGAGCAGCGGCATCAGGCCTGATCAGGGAGCCCCAGGTGCTACCACTCCTCCAGTCACCCCAACAGGCAAAACCAGCCAGTCCTCCACAACCACATTGGTGAATTCTCACCTAGGACTCCCGGAGGCATGCCTGCTTCCTGGGGTCACTGCCTTTGGATGGAGGTGGGGAGACCCATTTCCCAGCCAGGTCTCACCCAATCTGATGGCCTCTGACCACCTGCAGCCTCACCTACCTCCTCAAGAACACACATGTGCCCAGGCCACACCCCCCTGCACATCCCCCCAGGCTCCCCACTCACACCCATCCCTAACACACCACTGCTGGGCTCTTCACCTGCATCACCCTCATCCCCTCATTGGGCTCCCTACCTGTAACCAGCTTTGACACATCAATGGTGCCTTTTAGTTTGATACGCTGCAGTTCATCTTCCAAGACCAGTTCATCATCTGGGTGTATGTATTTGCTCCGAGGAGGCTGGGGGAGCAGGTTGTGCTGGAATGCAGAGACAGGAGGTATAATCTTGAGGCCAGAGCCCATCAAGGCTCTGGTGTTAGTGAGCTGGCACCCCAGCCCCAACCCCTCTGGAGCCCATCATTTCTGAACCTGCTTCCCCACACCCCCGCCCCCAGGGAGGTGTTCTAGGGGGAGGCCAGTTCTGCTTGGCGGCCCCGCCGTGTAGTGCCCTGCCTCACCTCCTCGCTGATCTCCCGCAGGATGGAGGGCTGCAGCGGCATGGCCTTGAACAGAGTGCCCACCACACAGCACTTCTCCCCAGGCTGCAGCTCACACAGCTTCTTCACCCCCACTCCACTGCCTAGGACACGAGGGGTACAGACTCAGAGATGAAGTAGCCCCCACCCTGAGAGAGGCCATGGAGGCTCTGCCCAGCACCCCACGAGAGGCCAATCCCAGGGCCCTGGCCCTCGCCAGGAGAGAAAATCAAGTGCAAGGACCCCTTGGACTTCAAGGTGACAGTAAAAGGTGAGTCAGCCACAGAAGACCAGGGACTCTGGGTGTGGTTGGGCCCTGGATGCCAAGTGTCCTCATGAGGAACAGAGAAACAGACACACAGACAAGAGGGAGTGTGAAGATGGGCAGAGTGGAGTGACGCGGCCATAAGCCCAGGAACGCCAGGGAAGAGGCCAGGAAGGACCCTCCCCTCGGGCCTTCAGAAGGAGCCAATTCTGCTGACATCTGGATTTCAACTTCTGGCCTTCAGAACTACCAGAGAGTAAATGTCTGTGTTTTTTGTTTTTTTTTTTTTTTGAGACGGAGTCTTGCTCTGTCACCCAGGCTGGAGTGCAGTGGCACAATCTCAGCTCACTGCAAGCTCCGCCTCCGGGGTGAATTGCATTCTCCTGCCTCAGCCTCCCGAGTAGCTGGGACTACAGGCGTGTGCCACCACACCTGGCTAATTTTTTTTTTTTTTTTGTATTTTTAGTAGAGACAGGGTTTCACCGTGTTAGCCAGTATGGTCTCAATCTCCTAACCTTGTGATCCGCCCGCCTCAGCCTCCCAAAGTGCTGGGATTACAGTGGTGAGCCACCACGCCCTGCCATGTCTGTTGTTTTAAGTCAACCAGTTTGTGGTGCTTTGTTACAGTGCCTACAGGAAACTAATACAAAGTACTGCTTCACTTATACCTAAATTACAACACTGATTCTTAAAAAGAAGCATGCCAAGTCTCAACACGGCCCTGCCCTACAAATAACTGCCATTTTCTTTAAGACTTTAGATTCTTCCACCCCACTCTCCACCCCTACCATATGCTTCACCCTCTGAGAGCAGAGATACTCAAAATGCAGACCTCAGATCCCCTCCACCCATTCCATTCCCGTGCAGTCAGGTGGCCTTGTTTACCCAGGGCACCTGGGCACCGTCTTCCCCAGCCTCTTCTCGGGATCCTGAAGAGGCTGTGAACAAGAACACATGGGAGGGGCTCGGCACTCTCAAGAAGAAAGGTATGGAGAGTCAGTGTGGGCAGGAGGGAGGAATACAGGTCTCCACACAGCACAGATCCAGGCCTGGAGAAAACACTGAGGAGGTGATAGGGTAACGCAGATGCCAGACCAGCCCCTTAGCCTAGCTGACTCCAGCACAGCCCGAGCCCCTGCTGCCTGGGAAGAAACGGGAACATTCCTCAAATCTACACCTTAGTGAGCAGACAGAGGTGAGCAACTCAAAACAAGACAAGAAGGATGCCAGCTGCAGACAGCAATGCAACAGACTCCACATCCTCACCTATCCCACGCTTACTCTCTCCAGGTGGCCTAAGCACTGTACATGTAACTCAGCCAACCCTGAAAACGTGCCAGGAGTAGATATCATCACCCCACTGATGCACAGAGCAACGTGTCCAAGGGCACACAACTGGGATCCAAGTGTGTGCCCCTGAGCACTGGGCAGAATGTCATCCCTGTAACTGATAGCAGGATAGCAGGATACTCAGGCAATATGCTGGCACCAAGATCGAAACTGGACAGAAAGGCCAACACTTGCCCCCACTGAACCCACTGGGTCTAGGCCAGAGAGCGACAACAGGCCATAAACAAGTATCTCGCCACAGTGACAAGTGCTGTGAACAAATGGTGAGCTGAGGTAGAAAACAGAGGCCCTCATTGGTCAAGGTGGCCCCTCAAAGAATATAATACTTCAGCTGACAGTGGGGCCTAGATGGGGTCATGGGAAGACGAGGGAAAGAGTGTGCCAAATGAAGGGAAAAGCCTACGGCAGGAAGGGCCGGGCAGGTTTGGGGAACAGGTGAGTGGAGAGACCAATTTGGAGAGACAGGCTGAGCTTCAGTGAGGACATGCAGAAGTCACATGTAGGTATTCAGGGTGAGGGCCAGCATCAACCACCAGGCCTGTGAGTGAGTGCTACTGCCTCGCCACTAGCAACACATTCATCGTGGCAGGTGTTTGGTTTCCTGACCAGTCTGTGGGCACAGTGAAATCGCTGTCGTCCATCACTGGGGAGCTTTTTCGGCAGCTCCAATAACTGGGAGAGAAATGTGCAACCAGAGGAGGTGCTGCCGGAAAGAATCTAGAAGGTGGCATTGACATTGGGCCCAAGTAGTAACTGAGCTCTAAAAAGAGCCAAGGAAGGTGTCCCGAGGGCTGAAAGGAAAGTGAGGAAAAGCTACCAGAGCCGCAGGAGGGAGCCCCCGATTATGTGGGAGAGGAGAGGTGAACAGCACTTTTGTCTCAGGTAAACAAAACAGAAAACATCCTGATATGGTTTGGCTCTGTGTCCCCACCCACATCTTATCTGGAATTATAATCCACACGGTGTTGACGGAGGGACCTGGTGGGAGGTGATTGGATCGTGGGGGTGGATTTCCCCCATGCTGTTCTTGTGATGGTGAGTGAGATCAAACCATCATGTGATCTGATGGTTTAAAAATGGTTGGCAGTTCCCCTCACTCTCTCTCTCCTGCCATCATGTAAACGTGCCTTGCTTTCCCTTCACCTTCTGCCATGATTGTTGAGTTTCCTGAGGCCTCCCCAGCCATGTGGAACTGTGAGTCAATTAAACCTCTTTTCTTTATAAATTACCCTATCTCAGGTAGTTCTTTATAGCAATGTGAAAACGGACTAATACATATCCCTAATGAATTTGTTGTTCTAGCTAGATTTCTGGGCCCAGTGTTCTCCTGGCTGCCTATAATAAGAGTTGATCTTGGCTTGGTGTGGGATGAGATGGGCTTTTCAAAGCTCCTCAGGGGATTCCAATGTGCAACTAGGGCTAAGATCCATTTCACCTGGTACCAAGGACAATAAAAACGAGTAAGACCTGGTCTCACCTACAAGATCCTCAGTTTAAAAAGATAATAGGAGATGGATTTGAAAACTACCTGGAAAGCCACTCTTATGTAAGTGGTAGGAATGGGGGAATGCGGCAGCACCCAAAACTCAAAGGGGGAGATGGGGGTCCCTATTTCACCACCAAGAATAATCCAACTGCAGGAGAGATCACCGAGGAAGAAATGGGGGCAAAGAACAAGGGTTGTGTTGGCCAGGCCACTTTATTAGGAAAGACAGCTCAAGGGACAGGAAAATTTATGGCCAGCAAATATAGGGGCCAGGAGGAGAGGCAAACAGACATGAGTGAACAGAGGGGGTCCCCTCGAGACCAGAGAGTGCGTCCTCACCAGTCTTGGCTCCTGGTGCCTGGCTCCAGGCTTGCCACACTGAGGGGCTCTCTGGCTACAGCACAGGCAAATACTTGAGTAATCTGCACTGAAGATAGGAAAACCATTTTCCTCTGCCAGTGAAATAATCACCATCACCGCCAGAACTAAGTCCTTATCTCCAACCAGCCTCTGAACTAAAACTAACTTCAAACCCACAAATTACTTAATTTAATCCTTGTTACTATCTTAAGAAGAAACTGAGGGAAAAAGAGGTTAATTTTCCCAAGGTAACAGGAGGTGGGATCAATTAGAGAAATGTTCCCGTTCTCTTGCAGAACATTTCTAAGTTCTGGGCTAGTGTGGGGGAAGCACCTTCCCAAACTCTCACTTACCCCAGTGCTGCTGGGCCCGGTTCTCCAGGAAGGGTCTCATTTGGATGAGGCGGGTGGCATAAATGTGGGCATACTGCCGGCTAAAGCTGCGCTCTCCTAGCCGGAAGGGTTGCGAGGAGTTGGTGTAGGTCGCCACTGGCACCCGGGCAAAGGTGGCATTGTTGGCTGATGGTGGGGACAGCAGAGTGTGGGTCCTCTGGGCAGCCTGCTCAGAAAACATGGCCACACTCCTGGCTTGCTTGGTCCACACAGCTTCGCCCAGGCCAAGGAGGGTCACTGTGAAAACACAAAGGCATTCCTGCTGCCCCTGCCCATCCCCAAAGCAGCAGCTCTCCTGCAGTCTCACTGCACCCAAAGGATACTGGGAAAAGAAGGGGAACAATTGTAGTTGACACCAGACATTGTGTCCACTTGGAAATTTATCATGTCTGGATACCGATGTCTCACCCTGTAGCAGTCATCCAAAAAGAGAAAAGGAAAGCTAAGAGTGTTTGTCTCATCTGGAGTTCTCCCCGAACCCCAGACTCAAGTGTCCTGTTCCATCTGGACAACTATCAGGGTCTCAATCAAGTTCAGCGTGCCCCAAATGGAATGCCTGATCTGCCCCCGTCCAGCTCTCCAGCACCTGCCTCATCTCCAGACATGAGGCCTGCCTTATTAAATAAGCCTCCTGTGAAATAATAAGTCTATTACTAAATAATAAAATGAACTAAACCAAAACCAAAACATAAATCAGTCACTGCTCTGCTCAAAACTCTCCAAAGTGTCCTCATTTCATTGAATAAGGCCCTAAGTCCTTACAACTGCCTATGAGATCTGCTCCACTGGTCCTCTCCCTTCCTGGTTCCCACTCCTCCACCTTGGGTCCCTCCCCAGAGCAGGAGGCCTCTGAACTCTTGCTTGCCCCTCTCCCATATACCTATAGGGCTCACTTGCCCATTTCCTTCAAGTTCTTACATCTTTACTCAAATGTTACCTTGTGCCCTGCCCATCTGATTTACAACTGCAACCCTTCCCAGTACTTCAATTGTTATTGTTGTTTACATCATTTACCTTCTAACAAACTATATTTTAAACGTATTGTCTGCCTGCTGCAATTAAACCATAAGCTCCAGGAGGGCTGAGATTTTTGTGTCTTATGCCACTACCCACCTGGGGCTACGAAGTAGATGTGGTGAGTCCAACTGTGATGTTTGGGTTGGACACACAACGGATTTCCAAGAATAGTACAAAGAATGTCCCAATACTTTCTTCAAATACAACTGAAATAACAGTTTGGATATATTTATGGATTTACTCCAACTGATTTCTGTTTCGTTTTACTTTTTTCGTACACCTACTAGAAAGTTAAAAAATTCCGTAGCGGCTTGCAATCTATCTCCATGGGACAGCACTGGCCTGGGACACAGGCTCCGCACACGTGTCTAACGAGTGACTAGTTAAGAGTTTTCGGCTGGAAGCTGTTTGATGGCGGCAGCAGCCAGGCCGCGCTGCTTGGGATGGGGCCGAGGGCGCCCTGGGGGCTGCCCCAGTCACGGCGGGTGTCCCCGGCTCGGATCCACGCGGCAGCTGCGGAACGTCTGTCAAGACACTAGCCCACCGCCCCAGGAGCCCGGTAGCGCGGCCTGAAACAGCCACCCACAGCTGACCCCGTTTCCCTGGACCCCACTCACCGCGCGGCGCGCCGCATCCCGCCAATCTCCGCGCGCCTGCCCCGCCCATCGCCGCAACTCGCCAATCCCCGGGCGACTTCCCCGCCCATCGCCTCAAGTCACCAATCGCTGCCCTCCTCGCCCCGTCCATCACCAGGCGCCGCATCCCGCCGACCACCTTTCACCCAGTCCCTGGACCTACAGAGAACGCGGAGCCCCACCCTCGGTTTCCTGGGCAACGCGGTGCTGGGGCTCGCGGGCGTGCGCCGCGGGTCTAGGGTTGGCGGCCGCGCGTGCAAGGTTGGGCTGGCGGGAGGTGTAGTCTTCCAGTGGGCTGACCGCGTCACCCCGCCAGGCCCTACCCAAACCTCTCAGTGGCCGTCACCCCGCCAGGCCTCCCAGTGGTCGCCCGCCGGCCTCCTTGGTAAAGCCCCCGGCGTCCCGGTTTTCCCCGCAGAGCTGCCCACTTGTAGCAATGGCGTCACGCGTAGAGGATCCCAACAGAAAGAAGGCCCAAGGCCCACAAACGGGGCCGGGGAGAAGTAACCCTTCCTGAAGGGATGGCGCGGGGTGTCGGGGTTCCTCCGGTCCTGCCAGCGTCTGCGCCCGGGAAGTGCATTGGCTGTTTCGGGGTCCTCCCCAGCCTGCCCACAGCTGCACACCAGCTTCCGGCCCAACACTCTCCAATCTCCAGTGTTCTCGTTGTCCCCGTTATTCGTACTCGTTCTTACCACCACCTCTTTCTGAGTGCTGTCTGTCACACATACTTTTTTTTTTTTTTTTTCCATCTCCACTAATATATAGAATTCCTCACCCCATCAAGAGGCGCTTCCCCACTAAGCTTCCCAGGCTCCCCGTGCCGCGCGCTGATTCTTCCAGGCGTCCTCTAGAGCTACTGTTCTGCTCCTTCCCTGGGCCTGTTTCCTAAGTCCAGGTCTTGTCTGCACAACAAGTGGATATTAACACTCGTTAATTATCACTTAATATTTTAATTTTTTGTTTTTGTTTGTTTGAGGCAGCGTCTTGCTCTGTGGCCCAGGCTGTAGTGCAGTGGTGTGATCTCGGCTCACTGCAGCCTCGAACTCGCAGACTCCAGTGATTCTCCAGTCTCAACCTCCGAGTAGCTGGGACCACAGGCGAGCACCACCACTCCTGGCTACTTTAAGTTTTTGTGTGTGTATGCGTGTGTGTGTAGAGACAGGGTCTCCCAACGGTGCCCAGGCTAGTGTGGAACTCCTGGGCTCAAGTGATCCTCCCACCTCAGCCTCCCAAAGTGCTGGGATTACAGGCATGAGCCACCACGCCCGGCCTTATATTTTAATTTAAAATGTGATATTTTAATTATTAATGACACATTAATTCACCTGCTCCTCAAATAATCCTTTAGGTGGGATACAGTGGCTCACGCCTGTGTCCCAGCACTTTGGGAGGCTGAGGTGGGAGGGTCGCTTAAGCCCAGGAAGTTGAGGTTGCAGTGACCTAAGATTGCACTACTGCACTCCAGCCTGAGCGACAGAGCCAGATGCTGTCTCAAAGCAAACAAGCAAACAAACAAAAAACCTTTGAAGCATGAACTATTATTTTTCTCCCACTTTACACTTGAAGAAATTGAGGCAGAGTGGGCAAGAGAGATCAGTAGCTAGTGAGTAATAGCTGGGATTCACACAAAGACAGCAGGACTATTGCTGGTAAGGTTGGGCTGTTCTGACCCTTGACCTGAAACATTATACATGTATTGGGCAAACAAATAATTTTACTTCTTCCTTTCCAATTCAGATGCTTTTTATTTCTTTTTGTTACCTGATTACTCTGGCTAGAACTTTGAATACTATGTTGAATAGAAGCAGTGAAAGTGGGCATTTTGTCTTATTCCTGATCTTAAAGGAGAAGCTTTCAGGCTTTCAGCATTGAATATGTTGTTAGCTGTGAGTTTTGGGATTTGGCGTATGGATTTTATTATTGGAGGTAGTTTCCTTCTATTCTTTGTTGAGCTTTTTCTTCTTTCAAAAGAGTGTTGAATTTTGTCAAATACTTTTTTGACATCAATTGAGATGACCATGTGGGTTTTTTTTTTTCTGTTAATGTGGTCTGTGACATTTATTGATTATTATGTTGAACCATTCTAGTATTTCAGGAACAAATTCCACTTGGTGGAATTACAAACCAAAGTTACAATAATACTAGCTTTTACTGTATTCTCTTTTATATAATTAATTTTATTTTAGTTGACCCTGAATTTTGCTTTACCATAGATCGTTATTTCTCCCCTCCAAGTACTAACCAGGCCCAACTCTGCTTAGCTTCTGAGATTGGACACATTCAGGGTGGTATGGCGATAGATGAGATCTTTATTCCTTTATTCAGCTTTTTTTTTTTTTTGAGACAGGGTCTCAGTCTGTCATCCAGGCTGGAGTGCAGTGGCACAATCTCGGCTCACTGCAACCTCCGCCTCCTGGGTTCAAGTGATTCTCTTGCCTCAGCCTCCCAAGTAGCTGGGATTACAGGCATGTGCCACCACATCTGGCTAATTTTTGTATTTTTCGTAGAGATGGGGTTTCACCATGTCAGCCAGGCTGGTCTCCAACTCCTCAGGTGATCCGCCCACCTCAGCCTCCCAAAGTGCTGAGATTACAGGTGTGAGCCACCACGCCTGGCCTCTTTATTTAGCTTTGAATCACTGTCTAGTATCCTTTCATTTCATCCTGAAAGGCTTTCTTTGGCTTTCTTTGCAGGGCAGATCTAGTGATAATGAACTCCCTAAGCTTGTGTTTATCTGGGAATGTGTTCATTTTCCACTTTCTTTAAAAGAACAGTTATGTCAGATATAGGATTCTCAGCTGACAGATTTATTTTTTTCTTTTAGCACTTTGAATATATCAATCTACTGCCTTTTGGCCTCTGAGGTTTCTGATGAGATATCTGATGATCCTTTTCTTTCTTTTCTTTTTTTTTTTTTTGAGACAAGGTCACACTGTGTCACCCGACTGGAGTGCAGTAGTGGCACGATCTTGGCTCGGTGCAACCTCCGCCTCTCAGGTTCAAGCAATTCTCTTGCTTCAGCCTCCTGAGTAGCTGGGATTATAGGCGTGTACCACCATGCCTGGCTAATCTTTGTATTTTTAGTCGAGATGGGTTTTTGCCCTGTTGACCAGGCTGGTCTCAAACTCCTGACCTCAAGTGATCCAACTGCCTCGGCCTGCCAAAGTGCTAAGATTACAGGTGTGAGCCACCGTGCCCAGCCAAGATATCTGATACTCTTTTTGAAGATCCCTTGTATGTAATGAGTCACTTCTCTCTTGCAGCTTTCAATATTGTCTCCTTGTCTTTCTTTGGCTTTTAGCAGTTTGATTATAATGAATCTCAGTATGAGTATCTTTGAGTTTTTCCTACTTGGAGTTTGTCGAGCTTTTTGAATGTTCATATTCATGTCATTCATCAAATTTGAGAAGTTTTCAGCCATTATTTCTCCTAATAATCTCTCTGGTCCTTCACTCTCTTCTTTTTCTGGAATTTCCATAATTGGTATTAGTCTGCTTGATGGTGCCCCACAGGTCTCTTAGGCTCTGTTTATTTTCTTCCATCTTTTTCCTTTCTGTTCCTCAAATTTGATAATTTCAGATTCTTTTTTTATAAATTTTATAATTTTTAAATTATATATATATATACACATACACATATTTATATTTGAGACGGAGTCTCGCTCTGTCATCCAGGCTGGAGTGCAGTGGCATGATCTCAGCTCGCTGCAACCTCCGCCTCTCAGGGTCAAGCAATTCTCCTGCCTCAGCCTCCTGAGTAGCTGGGACTACAGGCACGTGCCACCACACCTGGCTCATTTTTTGTATTTTTAGTAGAGATGGGGTTTCACTGTGTTAGCCAGGATGGTTTCAATCTCTTGACCTCATGATCTGCCTGCCTGGGCCTCCCAAAGTGCTGGGATTACAGGCATGAGCCACCGCGCCTGGCCAATTTTTTTTAAAAGATAGGGTTTTTTTTATGTTGCCCAGGCTGGTTTCGAACTCCTGGGCTCAAGCAATCCTCCTGCCTCAGTCTTCCAAAGTGCTGGATTACAGGCATGAGCCACTGTGCCTGGCCAAGTTTGCTTACATCTGCCTTTGAAGCCGTCTAGGGAATTTATTGTATCCTTCAGCTTCATAATTTTTTGCTACCAAGAAAAAAAACCCCGGAAAGTTTTCTGTCACTTTATTGGAATTTACATTTGTTCATACATCATTTTCTTGACTTTGTTCACATCTTCCTTTAGCTCTTCAAGCATCTTTAAGACAGTTGTTTTAAAGTATTTGTCTAGTAAGTCAGCCATCTGGTTTTCCTCTGGTATGGCTTCTGCTTATTCTTTTCCTTTGAGTGGGTCTTAGTCTCCTATTTCTTTGTATGCCTTGTGATTTTTTTGTTGTTGTTGAAAATCAGACATTTGCATCTCATGATGTGGAAACTCTGGAAATCAGGTGCTTTCTCTTTCCCCAACTTTACTGGGTTTTTCTTTCTTTCTTTCTTTCTTTTTTTTTTTTAGAGCTAGTGTTTTGCTCTGTTGCCCAGGCTGGAGTGATATGTTGAGTTTGTTTTTGATTATGAGAAACGTAGCTCAGGACACACGTGGGTATAAGACCAAGGTGGTGGCCATCCTCACATTGCAGGATGATGTACATTATTCAAGACAAGCTTGAAATGACACGTGGGCCCTGAAGTTGGGCTAAACCAGCTGCAGTTCAGTAGTGGCTGAAGGGCAGGTGTATCATTTGGTTGTGACAAATGTAAATGAAAGGCAGTTGATCTATTAGATATCAGGGATGCACAGAAATGGTGGGAGTTTGAAGGATCAGGTTTTGGGGCAGATGGGAAGTATGGTTTCTCTGGAGGGCCAAGAAGCTGGAAGCACAGCAGTCACCTCCTATCTGGGATTCTCTGCATACCAGTCCTGGGATGGACCATCCCCAGTGTTCCCACTGCTCTTGGATGGTGCTCTCATGAAACAGAATCTGGGAGAGGTGGCCTA